CGATGCCAGGGCCCTCTCTGCCCAGCCCTGAGAGGTGAAGGGCAACGAGAGCTGGATCTGAAAGGTGCTGGGGCAGCTCAAACACAGGCTTCCCCAAAACTGATGCAGCTTCTCCCAACGTGAGATCAGCCCATTCGACTGCCCTTCCCTTCCTGCCTTTTTCCTTCATGCCAGAAAGACTTTCTCTTCCTCTCTGTTGGCAGCAGCCGCCTGTCGAGAGACTCTGCCTTTACCCTTCAGCTTGGAGGAGAGAGTGTTGACCCTGATTCAGGCAGGAGATGAGGGTTCAGCAGCCCTGGCACATCTTTGCAGGGGAAGACTCCCCGTCACACTCATCATTTGCAGTCAGAGGGAAAGGGCTGAGCTCAAGAAGGACAAAAATGTAAAGGGGATTCTGTTAAGTAGATGAGCTGGTTCATCCCTTGGCAGGGCAATAGGAAACCTCAACAGACATTTAAGTAGACCTCACTAATGCTGTTTATCACCGAACAATAGCAGGCAAGTACACCAATAAATATTTACATCTTTGATAATCCCTACCAGCAGCAAACTGCAAATTATTTAGGCGAGGGAGGGGGGCAACTAACAGCTGGGGTGCCAGTATGGCTTGAACTTGTGTCAGGTAACCTGGTAATAACCTAAAAAAATAATAATAGCATTGGTTTTCCCCTGTGTCATAACTGGCTATGTCTGACATTCTGGACATGACCCAGCAACGTGTGCTTGCACGCCAACCACATCTTGGGCTGCATCAAAAGCAGCGTGGCCAGCAGGACAAGGGAGGTTCTGCCCCTCTGCTCCGCTCTGGTGAGACCCCACATGGAGTCCTGTGTCCAGCTTTGGGGCCCTCAGCACAAGAAAGACATGGAGCTGTTGGAATGGGTCCAGAAGAGGGCCACAAAGATGCTCAGAGGGCTGGAGCACCTCTGCTGTGAGGACGGGCTGAGAGAGTTGGGGCTGTTCAGCCTGGAGAAGAGAAGGTTCCAGATTTTCAGTATCTCAGGAGACCCTACAGGGAAGACTGGGACAAAATTTAGCAGGGCCTGTTGTGATAGGAAAAGGGGTAATGACCCTCAACTAAAAAAGGGTAGATTTAACTAGATATAATGAAGATTTTTTTTACAATGAGGGTGGTGAAACACTGGCCCTGGTTGCCCAGAGATGGGCAGATGATTTAGTTGGAAATGTCCCTACTCGTTGCAGGGGGGTCGGACTAAGTAGCCTTTAAAGGTCCTTCTAACCCAAACTGTTCTATGATTCAACGTGTGACACGCCAAATGCATTTAAAGGCATGCTCAGCCCTCACTATAGGGGAGGGTTCCTGTTCCTAAATTAGATGACAGTGACAGTTTTGACTCTCCCTTTTATTCTGGCTGGTCTCTCTGAGGAATAGTATTGATCCGTGAAAGTATTTATGAGAAGTTCAGTGCCATCTGAGCGACACACGCATTACTGGGTTAGCAATCTGCGGTTAGATCTTTGAGGTGAAGATAATCCTAAATGTTCTAAACATCGAGGTCAAGTAATTTTCATTACGTGCTTTGTTTATGCTGTCAAGACGTGAATTTAACAGCAGTTAACACGGATGAGAGTTCAGCTGAGGAAGTGGACTCAATCCCCCGGACTAACCGAGCTGTTCTCTGGGTAATCACGGGGCCTACAGGGACTCCCAGCATCTTCGCTGACCCTGCCAGACCTCATCCTCGGCAGGAGTCCCGAAGGGCTGCTCACAAAGGCCGCCTTGGCAGTCGCTGCCTTCCCTAAGTACCCCTTTTGGCAGGGTCTGAATATTCACACTGGGAGCCTGGATAAGGGCACAGCACAGCGGCCGCTCCGTGGCTGTATCGCCATCCTGATGGCAAATAAACAGTGTAGAATGATATCGCTGTGCCAGTGTCCAAGAGGGCATCACGTGTGCTCGCTTGAGGGTAGCTGAAGCCTTCAAAGATTTTAACCACTCAAGAAAGAGGGACTGATGATGGGAAGAAAGTTTCTGGCGATGGGGAACGCTATTAGGGAACCATAAAGCCTTTAAAATGCAGAAGGTAAATACAAGAACAAACCAAAGTTGTGGGGCTGGTTCGGTTGGTTTTATGAAGTCCTACTCTGGGGGCTTGATTCGTGGGTACTGAACATCTGGGCTTTGCTTTGTTGAGACTGGAGTTTCATTTCTGTGCTCGTCTTCGCACTGACACTTCTTTGGTTTTTTAGCATGCTCACTGTTGTTGAGACTGGAGTTTCATTTCTGTGCTCGTCTTCGCACTGGCACTTCTTTTGTTTTTTTAGCATGCTCACTAAACCATAAAGCCTTTAAAATGCAGAAGGTAAATACAAGAACAAACCAAAGTTGTGGGGCTGGTTCGGTTGGTTTTATGAAGTCCTACTCTGGGGGCTTGATTCATGGGTACTGAACATCTGGGCTTTGCTTTGTTGAGACTGGAGTTTCATTTCTGTGCTCGTCTTCGCACTGACACTTCTTTGGTTTTTTAGCATGCTCACTGTTTTTTTGTCTTTTGAATGTCAGTAGTAGAATGAACATAACCATCTCTGACTCGGAGCAAAATATTTAAAAGGAAAAACTCATTTAACTCAGAGTCTCTCAGCCAAAATCCTGGTGTGAGTAAGCAACAGGAACTCTGAGGAAAGTAGAATAAAACAGAAAATTTTTACACTGCTGAAATTTCTGCCTTAAAATCTAAATATAGGATTGAAAAAGATCTTGCACTGAATTAGGACTGAGGCTATTTTTGTGTATTTTTAAGAAGAGGGAAAACAGGGCATTTTAAATAAAATGCCAGTTTTGCACAATTAAACCCCAAATTAGAATTGGCCATGAATAGTATCAGAAGATACTCTGCTGGAAAGACAGAGAGAGACTTCAGAATGTAGTCCTTCCCGTGGAAAGGATAAAGGCAGAATTTTCTAATGCATTATTTAACGCTTGTTATGTAGTGCATTAAGCAGTCGCTGAGAGGAAAGCTTTTAAAAACCAACAGCCTCTCTGATAGCATTAAATCTTACCTTGGATTTTTGGTTAAGTCAATATTAAGAAAATAAACGAATTAATACATTTCAGCCTGCCCGATTTATAGAGGCCAATCAAGTTACAATGCTGGACATGGCCAACTGAAAGAGGGGAATAGATTTACCTGAGTGAGGTCTTAATTTAATCAGCTGGCCCCAGAGAGCTGAAGTCAGCAGGCTGGGATGATATAAGAGGCAGCAGAGAAATAGTGCCTTTACCGCAGTCGAAAAGGAGAATGACAGTGATGGAAAGGAGTCTAGGCAGTGTCAGAACACACCTATTTCCATGATTTATTCTTAATTTACTTTAATGACAGTCTGAAGGTTGTCCATTTTTCAAGTGTCCTCAGAACACTGATATTTTCTAAACATTTAAAGCATGCTTTTTCTCCCCCTCCTTTCTGTTAGCTCCACTGCGAGTTGGAATTGGAGAGGAGCTCTGTCCACATTTGGCCATGATGAATTACGAGCGCAGCGGCAGACTCCTCTTTCCCCACTGTGTGCCTGGCCAGGCAGTGTCCCTTCTCTGCAGTCACCCTTGAATCAGGTCTAGGAATCACAGGTTCCTCTGGGATTAATGTTGATATTATGATAAAATGGAGGAATTGATTGCATTTCTTTTACAGTTAATACTGGCAAAAGTACAATGTGTGCTTTCCCAATACAATAGCTCATTTTTATTATCCAGTGAGTTTATTGATGGTTGTTCAGAACTACTGACATGCAGACAATGATCTCAGATTGCATTTATATTTCTGGAATACTTTCCATCTTTCCAGTTTCTGCCAGGAACTTGCTTCTGTGATTCAGAGTTTTTATTTTAAGATTGGACTGTTGTTTAATCTGCATTACAAATCCATGCCTTTTGCTTTCTTGTGTATGTGCACTGCATTCATTAGTATCATCACAAATCCTTTTAAGCTTGGACCCGAACAATTATTTTTAATTTATAAATTCTTACAGGTATTTACAGATTGACTGTAAAATCATCATCCCATCATCAGATGAAATAGTGATTTATTTCTTTTTCCCCACAATGCCAATGAGAGGGTTCAAGGGCAATATGATCTCAGTGATACTTGCAAATAGCTTGGGAATATCAAGCTAGCTGGAGACCCTTATCAGTCATTTTCTCATTTTAAAAAAATCCATGTTTTTGCTATAAAGGACTACTGCTACTACTTTCCTATGAATCTAGCCCTGTATATAAAAGATGCCCCAAACTGCCCCAAAATACATCTGGAGGGAGAAAAAAAAACACCCAAGTGATATTGTTCCATACTGCAAAAACAAAAAATCCTCGTTCTCGCTAGGAAAAACAATGAAACAAAACTTGAAGCATTTTCTCTTTGTAGCCACTTTTTTGCCCATGTTGAAGAACGAGGCATATGAGACATGGATGTATTTCCTCATGTTTGCAATCTTTCTTGCCAGGTTGTCTTATCATATCAAGGGGCACATGTCACTTTAAAGTTAAGTGGAGTGGCAAAGCAAAAAGAACCCAGAAAGCTGACTATTACACTAAGTCAATACGTTCTCCAGTCTCCTCCTGCAGCAACTCAGCGACTTGATGGGTGTTTCATTGGGGCACGTTACAAAACCACTCAATCCTAACATCATGTTTTAAAGCATGAGCCAGTTCCCACCCCAGGTGAAACTGAAGGTACTTTCTGTGAGAGAAAAACAGGTTCTGAGACCAGCCACCACAATGCAGACACCTATTATTCTGCTCAGGCTGTGTCTGCAAGGAGACAAGTAGAGCAGGCCAGTGAGAAAAGACCTGTTGAGCAACACAGTGGGTGCTGAGGACCCAGTGCCCGCTCTGGGTCCAACTAAAACATCAACAGAAGTGCCCCATCACTCTCCACACACAGTTGAGTTATTCAGACCAGTGTACGTGTTCCCACAACAGACAGAATGCAAAGCCACATGTAAAAGATGTGTGATTAATCTTACGTTTACTTTCATGTTTTCAGATATACTCAAGGACAAGAAAAGCCATCCAGAAAACAGAAACGAACCAAAACCAACTGTGAAAAAGATTGACACCACAACCACCACAAGCACTGTCAAGTCCTCCTCTAAACACAGCGTAACTGGAAAGGGGAGCAGCCCAGCTCCAAGCTCCTCACTGGTTGTTTTCACAGCACTGGCAGTTCTGTGGCGTCCTCAGCTGTAGCTGCATCACCTGCAGCCACTACGCAAGCGTTTCTCTCATTTATACCTACAGCCTTACCCAACAGAAAACAAATCTAAATGGCTCTCTAGTTTCTGTGATGTTAGAATAAATATTAAATGATATGCTGGAGTTGGCAGATACCGAGTGTCATCGCCTACAGAGTCTGAAGACAGCCTTTGGCAAAGCCCACCCAAGATACAGAGGGAATGATGACAAGGGTCTGAGTAGCTTAAGTTATGGGGTAGAAATAATTGAAAACACAGAAATTGTGTATGTGTGTGTTATTGTTTTTCTCAGTTTTGTTCACTGGAACCTGACTGGCCAGTTTTGCTTGTTTAATTTTTCTGATAAATTATATGAATGGTCAGTCTCCAAATTCAAGCCAATACATACTGTATTTTTCTAGTGAACGGCTAACGAGCTCTGTCTACAGCTGTAAACCATGTTAAAGTGAAGTGCTCTCTACCAGCCTGATGAAATTCCTAAGTGGTTAAGAAGATCAAAGCATGTTTGAAATGTCTTTTCACTTTTACTGTTTAGATTGTAGGAAGCAACATAAAAGCATATGGTGTGTCTAATATATCAATATAGTTGCCTTAACTATGGAAACAATTAGAAACACTTTGTTTACTGAGGGATATAGATAGTGAGTTTCCCTGCCCCACAAAATGCCATGACCAGATGCTTAAGCATATTCTCAAGGCTTATTGGATGTATGTCCAGCAATGGGAAACATAAATAAACATAATTATGTTTTATCCAGTTGAATGCAGCTCTTATACAGAGAAAAAAAGGTAATTCAGTTCAAAATTGGCCTATATCATGGTAAAGAGGATTTTCCATAAAGGTCCCAGAGATATAAATTATTAGGAACTCCCATTAGATACTAACTAGACTTTGTGCATTGTGGATCTCTGAAATCAACTCTGTTTCATAAACTGTGTATTATTTAATTACATTTAATGTTTAAAATTTTGTATCATGGTAGATGTAAATGTAAAGCAATCTGAACTCTAGAACACTCTCTGTTATGCATCACCTTGATTGCTACCCTAGAAAATGTCAAAATGTGCATTATATTACAAGGCTATTTCTTTTTTAATGCGTTTTAACTTTTCGGATGAAAAAGTACTATAATAACTTCTAATGGGTTAAGACTTAATGTGCGTTTTTCAACAACTGTTTACGGTGCCATTGAATATATATATACAAACATAACTGTATGAATACAGTGATTAATATGATAAATATATGAAACATTAGAATTGTTATATTTACTACATTTCGTAACTATTACAACAGTTTAATGGCCATTTTCATGTTGTAGACTATTATTATGTACAGTTTTATAAGATTTAATGTAAAACACTTGCCTTTGGTTTTTTGTAAAACATCTATTTGATACTTAAACAGCCACTGACATAACTCAAAAGAAGAACCCTGTATCTTACTAATCAACTTCAGGCATTTTATCTGGCAACTGTGATTATAAAAGACAAGCCTGACTCAAAGAAGGTGCCATGTTCCAGAATTACTGCTGGATGTCGTTATGTAGAAAGTGGCAATAATACAGAACAAGCATACAATAAGTGAACAAAGACTCCCTAGTATGTTTTCAGATAGTGAACATGTCTAATTATGTTTGCAGAGGTGGGGCTTGAGTTTTGGTTTTAATTCAGGCTCTTAGATCAGATTTACAGACGTAAAGGTATAATCAGAACCATCAACACACCCAGCTGCAAAGGAGGTGCCTTTAAAGTGGCGGCAGCTCAGTTACCTAAAAGAGGATTCAATTTTAATATTGAAAGGAGGAAACAAAATGGAAAGGAAACTTTACACTAACATGAAATATTTTATATTTGAATTCTGATTTTTCAAAATGGTAAGGATATTAGTATCACTGAGTAGTGCTTTCCAGTCGTATCAGTGAAAATCAGTTTTGACCAAAAGTACACAAATGGCTGTCCTGTGTGTCCCGGGGTTTGAGAGCTGCACCAGTCTATTGAACTATGATTAAAAATGCCACTTCTCATATTCATTTTCACTGCCCTTTGGAAAAGTGCACTTTTACCTGAGGAGATGTGCAAGTCATGTCATTTGTACAGTGAAAGGACACTGTAATTCACTGCACTCTTAAAGGATCCATTGTGATGGCTGCTGTTAGACAGGGTGGTCTCTGTGCACACACTGAAATGTTCATCAGGTGCTACCACCACCAGCTCCTCAGGTGATACCAATCACTGTGGTTTCACTCAAGCAATTCGCATCTGTTGCTTGTGAATCTGACCCCTAATTTAGTATTCTCACACTTAAGATGCTCAGTCAGGCAAATGTATCCGTGTTTGCACACCTAAGTCTCCTTCAGGATTCCTGTGGATAGAGCTAGGGTTTCAGGGCTACCAGAAACATCAGCTGTGCAGCTTGTAGTTTTCAGTTCTTCTCACCTGCAGAGACAGAACTTGAATACCCAGACTTGGGTGTCTTTTTGAGGTCATTTCTGGAAAAGGTTTTGTGCTTTTAGCTGGGAGCAGCAATGCAGCTGCCTTGCATTCAGCTGTAGCAGAGGAAGCTGAGAAGCCCTGCAGTAGGCACGTATCGAATAACTCACCCAGGGGATTTCTTTCTTGTTGCTAAATGTCATAGTCTTGCTAAACAAAAACCTCTAAAAAATAAAGTGTTTGAATTTTGGGTTTGGTTAGCAAATATTTGTATGATGTAGCATTCATGTCTTGAGCTAGACAAGACAACCCTTTTAAAGTTTCTGGAACAAAACTAGAACAAGTTGAAACTGGGAGGTAAGATAGATTCAACTAATTTTGCTGGATTCAACCAGCAAAGAATTTTAATAGGCACAAATTGTTACGGAACGAAGGAAGAGACTGCAGAGGACTCCACACCTATTAATGCATTTCACACCATGATACTTCTACACTGTAAGAAGAGAACTGGTCAAACCAGCATGAAGTATGTTCATGATGTGCACCAGAAAGGGTGCAGCTTTAAAAGGCAATGCAGTATATTTTTACTGATGGTTTATGATTTTATTTCCCTCAGGATCAGTTGCATTTACATATTAAAAACAAAATATTTTCCATCAAATAAAAAATCTATAACAGCAAAGGCAAAAACAACTGCCTGTGTCAGATAAAGGAAGTGTTCCAGGTGAATAAGATACGTATTTTACAAGATCTTATTTTGTTATCCAGGACACTGTAGTTACGATGTAATTACAAAGGTCTAAATGCAGAACACTTTTGAACTTGTCTATGTAATAGGCACTAGTCTAAGAGCATTGCTGTAGCTTTGCCTAACAGTTACGAATTGTATTTAGCCACTGCTTTTTGAATGTTTACTGTTTTGCTATGACTTTCTTTTAATATTTTGCTGTGCCAGCATTTGTGAATGTCAGCGTTGGAAAATAACTGCTGTCATACATTTGTGAGTAAAATCAATCTATAATTTTCTTTTGATAGTGATGGAGGCTTCTTAAGAAATAAGACAGAATTGCCATGGGCATTCAGTCTGTCCTTAGTGTTTTTCCCTGCTATTTGGGCTCTGTGTGACAGCAGGTTCCTGTGTCACTAGTCCCCTCCTGGCTACGAAAGCGTCGGGGAGGAGAGTGAACGTGGGTGACAAAAGCGTGTGTGGCTGCAACGTGCCAGTGCGTGGCAACCTCCAGCTGCCTTTTGTGAGGCACTGACCCAAACCAAGTGTTCTCAGCTAATTTTCAAGCAGTTTCTACACCTCTCCAAATCAACGCGTGGAGACTGGCCAGGAAAGAGCAGCCGAGAACCTAGAGTCATGGGCACCTGCTATGAACTGCACTTTCTTTGCAATTTAGATGCTCTACAGAATCTGGCCCCTCGTTTCCAACCTCCCCCTTTTTTCCTGGCTTGCATATTGCCAGCGCTGTGCCCTGTCTTCTAGTGAGCCAGCTATTTTGTCAGTGCGTAAGGGATTGGGATTCTGATCTCCTGCTCAGTAATGAACCTTTTGAGGTACAAATATCTGTCAGAGCTTGATAAGGGCAACACAAATAATAATGTCCAGCTGCATTGACTTCAGAGGCTGTGTGTACGGGTGTCTGGCTATGAGATGCACAGCGCTTTGATCTCTTAAATCAGACCTGTATTTAATCTATCCCTATTTCCTTTTGTTACCAAGACTGCAACGTCTATCATAATTTTAAATTTGACTCTTTAATCCTGTATGGGTCTTCTCAATATTGTCCTAATGGATGTTATGTGCAGACTTCATTTTAATGTTAGATGAGCCTTTTTGCCCAGATTTACTGAGCCATTCTTATTCAATAGTGCACATGACTAGGTTTAAGCAAGAGCTGTTCAAGTGAAAGGAGCCGAAATGCACATTAAAGTGAGATACTGAGTAGGACAAATCCAGAATGTCCCTATGTTCCTAGATTGGACTCTTAACATTAAACAGACTTTAAGGTTTAGCTGAAATTACAATCAAAATATCATAATTAGCATGGTGTGAAGGGGATTTAATCCTTGTATATGAAATCGATAAAAGAGTCGATCCATTTTTAAAGTGGGAATTAATTTATATACTTGCTTTCCTCATGTCTCTGCACATGGGTAGATTTAGGTCTGTAGAAACAGGAGACATTCCCTAAAATGTATCCTGCACATTGAGCATCGCAGCATCATAGGTGCTTCATGTTACAGTTAGCCAGAAGTGGGAGATGTTTATTGTTATTTATAGCATTTCAGTACTCAGAGTGCTTCTTGCAATGACATACGGCATGTGTGTTAATGAACAGTGCAACGTCTTACAGTCAATGTCATTATAGCTGTGACATGCCTTAAAGAACATGATAATGTCTTCTTCCTATTGCCTCAGAAGTCCAGAATTATTTCCAACATTGAATTCTCTTCTGGCTTCCACTGTCAGTTTCTAAATAGCTACATTTGAATAGTATTAAATATTAATCCAGAAAAAACCAAAATACTGGCCAAGAGATTGTAATAAATAGAGAGATAATAAACTTAGAAAAGTATCCTGCCTTTAAAATAGAGAATACTCCTTGGTAAGAAATCCCTCCTGGGCTGGAACCATTTTCCAAGTCCCTCTCTTCTCTCCAGAGCCGTCACCATCCCCTTCCACCTATTCTGCTGCACGCACAGCATGAAGCCTACATGCAGGAGGCTGGTGCACTGAACTCAGGAAAGTGAATTATAACTATTGCTGCCCAGTGATATTGCCAAGTATCTTGCTTAAGGTGGGCCACCTTTTTCTGGTTATGAGGATTCAAACTGCATGTGCAATTGTTGCAGCTGTTATTCAGTAAGTATCCCGAGTTGCGGCAGCTCTCAGAAAAGGCTGCTGGACGCAGACCATGAAGCAACAATTTTGTGTTGCTCCCACGTCACTGAGATCAGGCTCAGCCCTTAAAACAGACTGGTTTAGACATTCTGGTTATTATCAACACCACACTGATTTCCCCCTGTGAAAATCATGTAATTCGCTTTCGAGAGAAGGACACATAGAAGAGAGGCCCCTGATGCTTGCACGAGGTGCATAAAATACTTCATGAAATAGCCAGCAACAACCATGAGTGGTTTTTTTTCATTTCTGTGCATTAATACTACCTTACAAAATTATGCAGTTTGCATTTAATCATTTCAATTAATCTTTAGTAAATTACCCAGTACTTTGTAATTATAATATTTGCAGCTAATTTAGTGCCTTCCTAAAAATCATTCGTTGCATAATATAAGCAATTAACATTTATTCGTTTTTTTTCTGTTGCAGGGGGATATATAAATTATCCTCAGTGGCCTTTCTGTACACCTAATTAGCACCTGTTTGAATTATTCTACAGGCTATGGACATTTCATTTGAAAAATAAATGCGTTGCTAGTTTTGTGAACTCCTCGCAAATACACAGTTGTGAAAGTTACTTTTCAGGGGAATATGAAAACGTGTTTTCGTATGTCTTCTGGGTTTATAAGCTAGGCTAGGCTTTTAGGCTGTTACACCTAGAATAGGTACTGACATTTTTAATGCAGTTAAAATGGAAATAGTCAGATACCTCTTTACCGTAATTAAGTGCAATATCCCAGATTTGTAGCCTGGTTTATTCAGTAATGAAAAAGGAAAGCAATAAGACATCAAGACTATAGATCCTAGTATAACTTTCACATTTCTGCATATGCATATAGAGTTAGGAAGTTTTCCTAATCAGCGATGATCAAAAGCATTGCTACGCTGCAGTGTCAAGGATACTGTGTTAAAATTGTGGAAATTAAACCAGATAGCTTCAATCTCATAAGTAAGCTTCTAGATAAATAGTAATTTTCTATTTAAATGCACAGTGTATTGAGGAAGAGCACTTGATCTTTCTAAAAAGCAGATCTGGAAAAAACTTTCTAACAAGAATGCCACTATCAATTTATTTACGACCTCCACACGTATGAAACTGGGAAATCAAAAAAGGGTTTGAGACTTTTCTGTGGGTATGAAATGTTGCAGCAGACCCTCAGCTCCTATAAATCAGTATAGCTCCTTTGATTTCAGTTTAACCATTTACATTTACCCCGGGATAGTACCTAGCCCAAGAGTGTGAATTCCTTCCTGGTTTTTTGCAGGTGCAGAAAATCAAAAGTAACTGCAGTGATTACAAAATTTGCATAACAGTTTATATTGCCCAGGCCACTGATCAGATAACATCTTCAAGCCTGAGAAGAAAATTTGTAACACATGGGATGCCACAAGTCATCTGGAATTTTCCCCTTCCAGGGGGATGGCTGGGGCCTTCTCCAGAAGCAGCTGGTATGATTTGGGGCTATAAGGGGATATTCACGCTGTGAGTATCTCCTAGGGTAGAAAATCTTTCTCAGAGAAGGTTTGCTGATACAGATCAGGCCTTGAGGCAGATGAAGTTTGATTTTTCTGTTTCATGTTAAAACGTAGGATCCAGGTCTTAAACTGGCCTCAGAAACTAATTGAGACTCAGTGGAGAGAACTGATGGTGGCTTTGATGTTTTGGAGAAGCTTAAGCAGCAGAGAAGGCAAGCATCCGTGTGCTGCTTCAGCTGAAGCCTGGGTATCTTTGCATTCAGTTTCAGATAAAATTGCTGGTGAGTTTCAGACTTGTGGTGACAAACTTGTGAGTTACTGTAGCCTGATGCTCTTCTGTGGAGAAGAAATGAAATTGCCTCCTAAGCAGAAATAGGAAAAAAACCCCTCTTTATATAAAATACTTTGTGGTGACAAACTTGTGAGTTACTGTAGGCTGATGTTCTTCTGTGGAGAAGAAATTACCTCCTAAGCAGAAATAGAAAGAAAACTCTTTATATAAAATAAAAGCAATGCTAAACATCCAGCTTGGAGGGAAACCAAAACAGGCTGTTGGGCCTCACAGAGATGTAGAGTCCCCTGAGTGGGGTTGGTGGTGGTGCATATAGTGAGAACGGTGTCAGAGCCTCTCTGTTTGTCATGGAAGAGGGTGTGCACATTTTGTCTCTTCTTGGGGGCTTGAGAAAAGCTAGTTTATGGCTCAAAGATGACAAATGACTTACAGGCCAAAGTTGTGGACAAGTCCACAAAGCGGTGAAGCAAGCAATAAACATTTGGTGGTGGTCTCATTGAAAAATGAGAAAAAGAATTCAACTGAAGTATTTGAGCTTTTGCATTAGAGATGAACAACGGTTGAAACCTGCTCCCGACACACTGCAGTTGTGTATGAGAGCAGGCCAATGCCGCAGCAACACCAGATAAAATGGTTATTGTACCCCACTTATTATCTGGGGCAGTATTAGAATAAAAATGGAGGCTAGTGCACTAAACCTTGCATAATACAACCGCTTACTGTACTTTGATATCAGAACTAATATGGTATGAATGTTTACAGCACACTGGGGGAGAAATACTAGTAAAATATGTGCTTTGTCATTTAGCTTTTTTAATAATTACTTTGAGGCCTCCTAGTCTTTTTTAGTTCATTTTATTTTACAGAAATTAATAGGCTGCTTATGTTGGTATTTTACATGAGTTGCATCATGGGCATTTTAAGTTCCAAAATAGATTGGTTTTGCCCTAAGCTGTATTCAAGCTCTAATAATTATTTCTATTTCTCAAGCACGTGTTTTATTTGCAGTATATCTGCTTATGTTTTCATTGAATACATTTGTCAGTTTTCTTCAGTTTGTTTTCAGTGTTGAATATGATAAAGGCAATTTAAAAAAAAGCAGTCTGAAAACAATGTCTTAAAACAAGAAAAAGGCTACTTTGAAAAGCTGAAGTAAACGGTGTGTTTTGTAAAGGACAGTGAACTATGAATGGGAATAAAACTAAATAATCCACAGGAGGAAATTGTTGTTGTCTGTTACAAGTTTTGTATTTTTTTCTGAATATTTTTCATCGTCTTTGTAAGTTAAAAAGCTGATAAAATCTTAAATAAAAATATTTTAATCTGTTCAGATGATGCTTTGAATAAAGG